CGCGGCGCGCTGGCCTTGCCGGCCTTCTTCTGCTCCTGCTCCCTCTCCAGGCGGAGCTTCTCATGCTTCTCATTCTCCTCTGAAAGAGAAACACCGACAGGATTAATGGCGCTGCCCTGGCCTCCCCCACCCCCAGGCCCCCCGTCAGGCTGGTGACCCGCATGTCCGAGGGAAGCTCCTCCACCGCAGGACCCGCGCCCCTGGAGACCCCCCGTGTCCCGGCCACGCCGCCCCCTCGCTCCAGCACGGGCTGTTTCAGTATAAACCCTGTGCTGCCCCACGTTCAGGCCAAGCTGCTGAGGCTGCTCCCGGCTCTTCTGTTGGTTGCAGCAACCCCAATGTCTCCGGGGACACCACGATGGCAGCAGCCGATGAAAAGCAGATGGAAAGCAAGACACCACCCGACCAAGCTCCTTCTCCCCCATCCCAGCACCGCGCAGAGAGAAACAGCCCGACCCAGTCACGCCTCACCGCCAAAGCCCAAGCCCACAAATGGCGAGGCCTTTCTGCCACGGGAAAAAAACACGGAGCTCAACAAGATCAGCTGGGAGCCCGCACCCGCCCCTCGGAGGATCCGGTGTCGGTGCAGGATCAGTCCCCGCCCGCCCAGGCCCAGCACCCGGCGCGACGCTGATTCTGCTCCACCTGCCCAAAGCCCTCCCGCCTCGCGTCCGTATCGAAGCACATCGCTGTGCTCTATCGTACAGCAGCAGAAATCATTCCACAGCACAATGTTTTCGATTCTTCCTTTTCTCCTTTTAAATGGAGCTAAGGACGAGCCTGGAGACCGGCCCTGACTAACAGCATCCCGAGAAAAAAGAACTGCATTTCAGGATTGGCCCTTAAACTAGAGGCAGCACGCAGGAGACATGGAAACCTCGTGAGCCCAGTGTCCCCCACTCCCAGTTCCCCCAGCACTGCCCCAGGACTGCCGGGGGACAAACAGCAGCCGCAGGACTGCAGCTGGTGGTAAGCAGCCTCCTGTGCAGGGCCAGGCAGGCTCCTCAGGATAACCCACGCTGTATTTCACACTATCAAGCCTACATCTCAGCTCCATGGACTTTACACTGATACAAGCCCATCAGGGCGCTGCTCTACTGCTGCAGATTTTATCCAAGCTCTTAAACCTAGCTTTGATGTGCATACGTTCCTGTATGTTTTTACAACATTAGACGAAGTAAATGAAATCTGTGTGGCCCAACTAGCAAAATAAACCTCATTAAATGCGATCCAGGTCCCCAGCTTTAATTGTGTGAGCACGGCACAAATGAAATTTATTTACACAAGTCCTGCGGCGCCAGAGGCCCTGGCATCTAGACATCTCTCAGCCTTCATCAAATACCTCCAAACCCAGCGTCCATGAAGCTCGGCAGACCCCGTTCCTAACGGCCTCCGAGGGGTTGCAATAAAAAATGGTGCAGCAACAGCATGCTTCGAGCTATGACTTCTTCACAGTAATAAATATTCGGGAAACAAACCCCTAGTTGATTAGGCAGGGATTAAAGAAATGACGTGCACAGCCTGGTCCTGCCAACACCTGAATTACCACTCGGGGCGAGCTCAAAAACCCCCTGAATGAGCCCCTCCACAGAAGCAGCTTGGGCTTGACGTAAACGCTGCAGTCGGAGCGTATATTTAGGGAATCTGACCAAAAAGCAAGTGTACTGCAGCCTGGAATCCCCAGGTTATGCTCAACCCCCCGATTATCTCCAAGAAGAGCTGTATTAAATACAAATGAAACAAAGGGAACGACCTCAGCCGCCACGGAGCTGCCCACCCAGCTTTCCCTTTCAAGGGTCTGGTGCAAACACGAGACAGAGCGATAAAGGGAACAAAACTTTTATTCCCAAAGCCGAACAACCTTTGGCACACGTGACCGCGCAGTGTCACTGTCCCCGATTCACAGGCAGCTCCGTTGCCTGAAGGTCCCTTCAGCCCAGGACTTCCACAGCACCCTCCGCATCCCCTCCAACCCTCCTTACAGCCCTTGGTCCAGCTCCGCTGGCCGCCGGCCTGACGACGAGGAGAGCCCGGGGGACGCGAGGAGAGCCCGGGGGACGCGAGGAGAGCCCCGGGGAGGGCACCGGCACCGCACCCGCTGCCAGGGGCAGGGAGGGGAACCTCAGAGCCCACAAACCGCAGCGGCCCCAGCCCAGCACAGGCACCTCGGGAGCGCAGGAACGGGGTGAAGCCCCCGACTCAGGGGGTAAAAACAGGTCATTCCCCCCCCCCCCCCCCCCCCCCCCGAGGGGACAGCAGCACCCGGATGGCGCTCAGCACCGACCCGGCCGCACCTGGGAAGGCCCCGTGTGAAATCCAGCGACCTGGAAGGGCTGCGCACCCAAAGAGCGCTTGTCCCGCGGCTGCCAAGGCCCAAATTCAAAATTTTAATTCGATCCCTTGTAGCACCAAGTCAGAGGGCGAGTGAGTTCAAGACTCCAAAAGGTGAGGTTGTCTGAATAGAAGCTCAGAGCCTGAACGCAGTATGTCTCTACCCTGAAATGTTTAGAGAAAATAGAATCATCAGCATTTCCTCAGAGAAAGAAGCAAAGCGGGGCAGGGTAGCAGAAACCCCAACAGGAATCCCCTGATGTAAACAACATAAATCTCAGCCACAGATGCTTTCAGACTGGTTCGGCTGAACAGCATTAATAGCTAATAAATAAAAGCCCTCTATCTGCGATTATTTTGCTCCGCTTTGCTGCTCGGTTTGCTGCCGGAGATGAGGCGATGGCCCTGGCCCAGGGCACGGGAGGAACCTCAGTGATTCCTGGCGTTTTCTGGGTGCGCGGGGCCGGGCGGCACAGGGGCAGCGGGAGCGCCGACCCCCCGCCCGGCGAAGGACCGCGCAGCTGCCACCCAGACGTGAAGCTGCTCCGAGCGGGGCGGGAGGGTGGCACCAAAGAAGTGGCTTAGTGGAAACTCCTGGCGCTGCCCGAGGTCCGGCAGGGACGGCAGAACCTGCCCACGCCGCGGCGGCCGAGAGGCTGAGGAAGGAGCCCTGCGGCCGAGGCCTGCGCTGGCGGCAACGCCTTGGCGTGCACGAGCGGAGCCCGCAGTGAAATTCCTGCCAGTAATTTTCATTCATCGGGGAAGCCGAGGGAACAGGAAAGCAAGGTTACCAGCGTGCATTACTGATCAGAAATATTTATGTAAATGTCTCTGCAAAGCAGGTGCAGCCCTCGGGCTGCTGACAAGCTGCCAACAAGGCCTTCGGTGCTGCAAATCTTGAGCCCCCTTGAGCTAAAGAGTTCATTTCAAGGATGTTTTTCAGCCAAAATCTGACACCAGTGAGCCACCATCCCCTGTGTCTGACTCATCCGCCGGCAAAAAGGAACCACGCTCCCACCCCCGAGGGGGCCGAGGGGTCCCCAAGCCATCCCCTCCCCACACCCGCCCTGCTGTGGGACAGAGCTGTGAAGATCCCTGCCTCTGCCCACCCTGTGCTCACGCCTTGCACACAGACTAAAGGCACGCTTTAAACCCCCCAGAGCTCTGTTTCCTCATAGGAAGTCAGTTCACCCACTTCCCTTCACAAGTAAGAACCGAGCAGGGTAACACGGCAGCGTGTGCTCAGACCAACCTGCACGCGGGACACGCGCTCCGGCAAGGCCGGGACGTAGAAGCACGCAAGGCTTGGGGCACTGCCTCGTGTCAGAGGGCCCGCTGAACCGGGACGTGCACACTAGAATTGTGTCGTTCCCGCTCATTTTTGACATTGCCACCAAAGGGGCTGAGGGCTGAACTGGCCCAGAGACCCCTCAGGGGGTCTGAGCCACAGCTGAGGGACGAGGGGATGAGGGACCTCACCCTGCACCAGCGCCTGGTCACGAGAGCGGGGGGCTCAGCTTGCCGGCCGAGCCCCCGAGGCGGGACAGCACAAAGGAGAACGCCAGCAAGCGCATGGAACTGCAAACTTTGTCAC